AGACAGCCCCGGGACCGCTTTTTTTTTTTTTTTTTTTTTTTCGCGCACGTACACGTGCACCACTCTCTCGCGCATGGCGCACGGCGCCCCGCGCCGCACTGCGCACCGTACCAGTGCGCCACAACTATGGGATGAACCAATGATGCATTCGACTGATAGACAGTGATAGTTAAGTGGTGGGGTACAAGTTCCCCCAAAGAGGCTGCATGTAGAACAACCAAATGCATAGGGGTGTGACTCTAAGATTGGTCGAGTTTATGTCGGCGGGAGCTTGAGCAGTGTCATTCCTATAGGCCACATAGCATCCTGTTCGGCGTCGTTTTGCAAGTGGTGGGACTTCGCTCACTGGTGGATTTCACATATCTACTCTCATGCTCAGACAGTGTGTGCCACTGTCTTTGCCTTTGCTATAGCCAAACTTCAGGAAAAAAAAAAAAAAAAAAAAAAAACGGGAAGATTTTCTGTTTTTCTCTGAGTGAGGACGCCACCCAGTCAGTTGGGCCTGGGGTGTCTTGAACCTGAGACCTGCTCTTGTGTGTGCGTAAGTCAATGTTTGGTACCATTTGTGCTGTGAGTGTGCCTCCAGCAAGTGTCTAGAGGGTTCCAGGGGCAACGGGGGAAGTGCCCCCAGAAGACAAAACTACAGAATTCGTTTTTGCAAGTTTAGTTTATGTGGTGCTGGTTCGAGGAAACCATACAGTGCGCTGAAGGAGGAGACTTGACTGAGGAGGAAGCAGCCTGCTAGGAGTAGGAGGAGATTGGACTGTGTCGTGTTGCTGTTGTTGTTTCTTCTCCCCTCCTGTTGGGACAATACTGTGATGTAAGGGCGCCTGAGCCCCTTTTCAAGGTTGGAAGTGTGTTGTTGGTGAGGAACAGCATTTCGATGTTCACGTCGATATCCTTGGAGAGAAAGAAGGAGACGTGGTTGTAATAGTAGAGCTGTGTCATAGGAGGACTGTGTTGAACTCTGATTTGTATCTTGCTATCAGCGAGTTGCACGACGTTCAGAGTTGAAAGGTTTTTTGAAGATTGATTGACATTCAATTGTATGATATGTGTTTGACCTGTCACTTGGACTTACAAGTGTATGAGCCCGTTCCGTGGGGCTGACCCACATACTTCGTGCTATGTGTACGGTATATGGCGATGTAAACTTGAAATTGCTCTTGAGACTGTGTGACGACCTTTCCTGAAGAAGGCAAACTTGAGTTCACACATATGGATATCAATGATGCATGATTGAGCGTCTCCGTGCGTATTAAGGGAAAAACATTTTTGGTTTTTCTGTGGTAAGCCCCTTGTTTTGGTCAGATCCAAACATCTAGACGGCATCGAAACTCAGGTCTAGGCGTGCTCCAGATCATGCCTGGTCCAGAGGTTCAAACATTCTGTCCTTTCCAAGTTCACTGCAGCATGCATGATTGGTAAGGCAGCAACCTTAAACCACCACTCCATCCGACATCAAGAAATTGGGGGGGACTGGTAGCACAGGTTCATAAGGGCTACCAGTAGTACACTGTGGAGAACCGAAAGAAACACAAAAAATGAAAATGTGTTGAAATGCCTCCGTGATTTATTTCGTGGTTTAAGCAAATTTTTAAATTTTCTTAAATACTTTTCCTGGAAAGATCACGACCAAATCTACAGAACTTCTAATTTTCAGAGTCTTTGACGCTTTCTTTGGAGTGGGAAAAATTGCAGAAGTTGGAGTACTTTTCCCGTTGGCCAACAAACGGCAGTGTGGCAAAACTGGAACATGCAACGAATAGGCACGTCAATTGTTTCTGCGAGGAACTGGTTCTTCGGCAGGCCTAAGGGGCGGTGCTACAGAAGTGCCCGCCCTAAGTGAAGGCGGACCTAACAAATCTCGAGAGGCCCTCTGCTGTCAATTTCATATTTGGGGTCCAGGCAGTTGTGACGTGCCAGTTGGTTGAGGGAAACACAGGCCGAGCAGCAAAGACGTTCCACGGTAATAGCCCGTCATCCCCAAAAATGACCGGACCTCAGTAACAGTCTGAGGTATGGGCCAATCTCGTATGCTGGCCACTTTGGCATCGTCCGGCCTCAACCCATCTGCAGAAATTTCATGACCCAGATACAAGATCTTGGTGCGACCAAACTTGACTAACCTTGTACTGGTGCTGTCTTAGGAGACTTAGCACTATCTTTAAGTGCTCAGTGTGCTCCCCTACAGTCTTACTAAAGATAAGGATATCGTCGAGGTATTTGGGATCCAGGCAGTTGTGACGCGCCAGTTGGTTGAGGGAAAAACAGGCCGAGCAGCAAAGACATTCCAGGGCCTTCAAGGCCTTTCCGAAAATGCAGGCCCTGGGCGAGAATCGCAGCCTCATACACAGACCGTTGGGAGGCCCAACGAACGAGGCCCAGCCTCCTGGGGCCTACCAGAAGCTTCTGGGCAGAGGCCCAGGCTGGCCAGGCCGCCAGGGCAGGCAGGCTCTTTCCATATAGGAAAGAGCTCGCTGCCTGGGCTGGCATTCAGGCACTGGCATGCTAGCGGCAGCGCTGCAGGAGCAGACGCTCGCGGGCTGCTGCTGGCGCTAAGGGCAAGACAAGCGCGTGCGGTCATGCAAGAAGCTGGGCGCTGCTGAGGGCAGCGCAATAGCCCAGCCTCCATAGCTGGCTGGGGCTTGGACTACAGTGAGGCGGAGGGGTGGTCTTCGGGTGTACAGAGGGAAGACGTGGGTGTAAAATCAGGGGAGAGAGAGAAAGATGATGATGATGATGTGAGGGCACATACCCTATTGGCGATGGTCTACATCGGGCGACATCTTCAAGTAGTTTGTTGGCCTCTGATGTCAACAATTGCATTGTCAATTAGTAGGCAGACAGTAACTGTGTAGGAAGTAGGCTAGGCGCCGAGCGCCAAGTAGGAAGAAGGAACTGGACTCTATGTTAGTGGTGGTGAGAGCAAGCTCTCATTGACATTGGTTTTCAGTGTTACGAATCTCCATTGGTGTTATATTGGTGCAATGCTGCTTTCTGGACAAGGAGATACTATCTGGCTTTCAGTGTGATTGTGCAATGTGGATTTTGTCATCTCGCTGTTGCTCATTTTCCTTGCATTTCACGGTCAAGATTATTTTTATTTTTATTTTCTGATATTTTTCCTGGAAAGATCATGACCTAATCTACTACTGCTCAATTTTTCAGAATTTTCTGTGAATTCTTCTGGCCGCAAAAAATCGTCAAAGTTGCCGCTTTCAAATTTCGGGACTAGGCCCGCCGGTTCAGCCTCCGCTCGCCGCCCTCCCTCAAAACCCGCCCGAACTCACAGGGAGGGCTATTTCCGGCTGGCGGAGGGAGTGGTGGTTAACCTCTCGGGCATGCAACACAGGAGAGACCATGACACTCTCAAAAAAGGGACAACAAGCAAAAGAACCGAGTGTGCACTGCAGCATAACAGAAGACAAAATTTCCAAACCCAGGCAAAAAAAGACCAAAATCAAGTGATAGAGCATCATACCTTGGATCGAAGATACGGTCTCTGCTCAGCATGTGTGCATGGATAAGCAGTAATTGAGAAAAGTGTTTCTTTAAGAGGGAAGGAGAGAGGATCGCAACACCAATGAAAAAGCAAAGGGCAGAGAGGATTCCACACCTCACCATAAACCTCGAGCGTAGTATGTCGTGAAATGGGTATCTGAGATCTCAGCACAACAATCAGTTCTTTGACCAGCTGCATAACATTCAATACGATATCGGAACAACAACCAGGCACAGAACAATAGTCAAGGAACGTTACACACCCTCGTTGGGGACCTTCTCGCATGTGTCAGTGTAACTCTGTGTGAGGTATGGTTCCATTGTTATGACCCTGTCCAATTTCGAGATACACATCCACTGAGAAGTACAATGCCATCCAATTGCAGAAAGAAATGAATGAACTTGAGAGGAGAGAGAGGAGTAGAAGAAGAAGAAGAAATGAGAAAGAAGAAGAAGAAGATGTACACCAGCAAAGATGATGACAGGGCTCTTCTTCTTCGCCCAACAATCTCCTCCTCCTTATCTCCCCCTTCTCATATTCAAACAAGAAATAATAATACAATGTTGAATGACTGGTCCAGAATCATGTCCGAGTCCCTTTTCTACTGCAGGTATCACTCAAGGTCCACCATAGCCATCGCCGCCTCCCCCACTCTTCACATACATAGGCCGAGGCTATGGCGGACTACTAGGCCTTGCTCCGATGTCCAAAGGACAACGCAGAGAAGCTATGGCTGCTACAGCTCAGGCCGCCATGCCCAGCCCTGCCTTGAAGCTTCTTGGTGTAGCTCCCCCGGCTGGGGACTCTTTGCAGCAGCGCCCACCAAGGTGATGAAGATGGCTGCCACCATAGCCAGGTAAGTACCCCTGGCGCTCCTCCCCCTTCCTCCTTCCTTCCTCCTTCTTCCTCCCTCTCGTCCTTCTTCCTCCTCCCCAGCAGCGCAGCTCCAACCCAGCGCTGCTCCCTCCAGCGCTCCACCAGTGTGTCGCCAAACTTGCACACCGAAAAAGAGGCCGGGTCTTCCGCCCGGCCGGAAGATATAGCGGCCTGCCTTGCCTCTTGGGCGGTGACTTCCAGGCCGCTGGCCTTCCCAAGCAACCGGTACCTCTTCCTCCTTTTGGAGGGAACATCATTGCAGACTCTGATATTGCCCCTACAGGCCCTAGACTCAGACTGGTACCCGCTAGACCTAGCCTACACTACCGGCCTCTAAAAATGCCACTTTTGTCTTCTTCTGCTCGGCCTCCGGTACCTGCATATTTACCCCCCTGCCGGGTGCGGTACCGGCCTACCCGCTACTTGAGTGCTTTTTCCCTGCTGCAACCCTTCGAAGCCACGGCCACAAGTAAGTACCGGCCCTGAGGGCCCAACGAACGAACAAGTGCCCTGGCGGGCCACACACACACACWCTCATACCAACCAGCACTCAGACAGGCATGGTCACACACGCAAGCCAACCAGCACTCAGACAGWCATGCAGTCCAGCAAGCACACACACACACAGACTTAGCAGGCGGGGAACTCAGTAGGGCATTCAGTCTATGAGCAAAACTCAGAAATCAGCTGTGCGTTTCAGTCCGTGTTCGGACGGGTTATCACACTACCCCCCCCTCAAGAGCGAGGTCCCTTCGAGCGAGTAACTCATTCTGAGTCCTCGGTAAACGCATCATAGGCGAGCAAGGCAAAGAGATTCCTGGAATACTCTGTTGCAGAGAGCCTTGCTGAGATCTTTGGTGTGGCATTAGCGGCGATCTGTCGCTCGTAAGCTTTAACAACGCGCGGTGCGCTGCGTAGCAGTTCCTGTTTGGAGATCCAGTAGAGATCATCTAACGGGTGATACATGAAATGAACCTGGTACTGTCTGTTTCTCCCTTTACCTACATGCTGTTTGATTCTATCTATCTCATGCCCGCCCTTGATTACGCGAGGGATCATATCTTCGAGGTAATCGAATGTCTCAGCGTCACGATGGAGATTCAGTTTAGATGCATGAAACACGGGATACGTGCGCAGGTGAGCTGGCATGTCGACAACATACGAAGGGCCAAAGTGATCTTCCCCAATTACATCCAAAACTTCCCAAGGCCCGTAGTAGAGTGGGAGGAGTTCGCGTGAGACTCCCTCCTCCTCTGAGAATTCAGACATCTTTACCCAGACGTAACTTCCTACCTGAATCTCCGATGGTTTGCGCTTCTTGTTCGCATGATGAATCATGGCATGCTGTCGCTTGGTCATAGCTGCAACAGCAACTTTGAGCAAGCGATCATACTTAGCCCTGAAGCCGGGCCTGCCGGGTGTTAAACCAGCTGGCTGTTCAGGGAATAAGTAGGAGAGCGGATTACGGATCTGCCACCCGTAATGCAGCCTGTTAGGTGTCGTGGCGGTGGCAGAATGGACGGAGTTGTTGTACAACCCCTTGACAAAATACAGCTCCTCATCCCATGTTTCCTGATCAGGAATGATCAACGCACGGAGTAGTTGGAATACAGTCTGGTTGATCTCCTGAGCCAACCCGTAGGCTTCGGGGTGTCGGCCAAATGTCATGCACAGTTTGATTCCAAGGTGGGACGTGAACTCCTTCCATTCAGTGCTAATGAAACGTGGGTCCCGATCGCTCACAAGAGTCTTCGGGGTTCCGAATTGCAACAGGTATTTCTGTTGGAATTCGCGAATCACTAGATCTGTTGGGGTGTGAGGCGGTAAAGGAATTAGATTGAGAAACTTTGAAAACCGGTCAACAATCACCATGACTTGTGAAAACCCGTTCTTGTTTACCTTACCCATGTCAGTGAAATCGATGGAGACGGACTCCCCGGGACCATCAGGAATGGGTAGGGGTGTGAGTAGCCCCACGGGCTTTTGTCTGCATGGTTTGATTCGTTGACAGACTTGACATTCAGCTATAAATTTCTCAGCAGTCCCTTTCATGCCAGGCCAATCAAACTGTCTCAGCAAATTAGCGTACGTTTTAGCCATACCGAAGTGCCCGCTCCGGCCATGAGCCAAGTCCAAAAAGTGTGTGCGGAGAGGCTCATGGTTGGGTACACACAAACGGTCATGGTTCCCGTATCGGCGAAAAATCAGTCCTCCATACTCGTGGAAATCAGGCTGACCAATAGGATCAGCCCGCAGCTGCTCAAGGATGGAACTGAGTTCCGGGTCCTTGGTTGTCTGCTCTACGAGGTCCTCCTTCAACTGCTTCCGGAGGTCGTAGGATTTCACAAGGCAAGTCATGTACTCAGGGTGGCGAGACAAAGCGTCAGCGACTCGATTGTAACAGCCCTTTTTATGTCTCAATTCAAAATCAAAGATGTCAATCTCATGAAACCAGAGAAGTAAGGTAGGGGACAGAGTAGTCTGCATTTTGATCCACTTCAAGGTCTCATGATCTGAGAACACTTTGAAGTGGCGTCCCAAAAGGTAATGTTTCCAGTGATCCAATGCCATGTGCAAAGCGTAAAGCTCGCGCATGTAGGTGGAAGTGGCTACCTTTACGCTGGGCATGCGTTTGCTGTAGTACTCGAGTGGCCGCAGGCCATCGCCGTCATCTTGTTGCAACACCGCACCGATCCCATACTGACTTGCATCCGTAGTAACTACGAAGGTCAGTTTGGGGTCTGCAATGAGGAGTACCAGATGACTTACCAAGGCTTCCTTGAGAGTTCGAAACGCTTCCGTACACGTGGCATCCCAAGAATAAGACACATTCTTGCCGGTTAGTCGCGATAATGGATGAGCAATGATAGAAAAACGGGGTACAAACTTCCGATAGTACGACGCGAGACCAAGAAAAGAACGCAATTCACGAATGTTCACAGGTTGAGGCCAATCGCGTATGACCTCAATCTTGGTTGCCTCAGGCTCTAGGCCTGCAGCAGACAACCGGTGCCCAAGATAGATGATGCTATCCTTCCCAAACTCAGATTTTTCCAAGTTGAGATGGAGTTGCGTCTTCTTGAGGACAGCAAGTACCTCCTCAAGATGCTTGAGGTGTTCCTCCATGGACTTGCTGAAAATCAGGATATCGTCCAGGTACACTACCACGAACCGGCCAATATGTTCGCGGAGGACCTTGTCCATGAGGCTTTGGAACGTGGCTGGTGCGTTCGTAAGTCTGAAGGGCATTACGGTGAACTCATAGAGCCCGTCGCGCGTTTTGAACGCAGTCTTGTGCTGGTCCGCAGGATCGACTTCAATCTGGTGGTAGCCAGACTTGAGATCGATCTTCGAGAAGACCTTGCACCCGCCTACAGCGTCAAGCAAGTCATCTATACACGGCAATGGGTAAGCATTCTTTCTTGTGATGCGGTTTAAATCGCGATAGTCAATACACATGCGCAGTTTGCCTCCTTTCTTTGGCACAAACAACACAGGAGCACCAAATTCAGATTCGCTTGGTTTGATCCACCCTTTGTCAATCATCTCATCGATCTGCCGCCGGAGTTCCTCCAACTCGCCAGGTCCCATACGGTACACGCAGCCCTTTGGAGGAACWRCACCCTCGAYCAAYTCGATGGTGTGTCGGACCGGTCGCGTGGGGACTCCACGTGGCTCAGCCAAGACTTCYGGAAACCGATCGAGGAGGGCTTGGATGTCTGATGGGACAGGTGGGGGTGGGGAATCAGCAAAGGGATCACCAAAGTCCGGTCGCAAGTCGCGTATAGAGACGACCGAATCTGAAGTAGGATCATTTGGACTATTAGAGGGTAGAGAGGTAGAGGTGTTAGTAGTAGAAGTACTAGAAGTAGGATCATTAATCAAAGTAGTAGTGGTACTAGCCGCAAAAGTAGAAGGCACATGAGCAGGACGAACAAAGGCAACATACAACTGTTCTTCCTTCTTGTGCTTGCGCCATTTCTTGCAGAACTTCAATGCATTCAGAAAAGTCACTGGAGATTCGTGCTTCTCATCCAAAAGGACAGGAAGCTCGTTCCCCTTAGCATCTTTGACCATGAAGAGTGATTCCTTCCACTTGGTCCATTCGCATTGGGACTGCAGCCAGCCCAAGCCAAGGACAGCGTCGAAGGGGCACTTGTCAAGGACAAAGAAGTTCAGTGCATGGGTGACAGTCTTACCTTTGTCAAAGGTAGTGCGCACACCTTTGACTGCATGTGTTGAAGAGACAACTTCTTTGTTGCCAACTTGGGTCCGGCAAGGGTTCTGCAGGGCCACTTGCTTCATCCCCAAGCCCACCTTGCGTATCCCATGTGGTGACATGAAATTAGTTGTAGCACCACAATCAACTAATACACGGAGATAGCGGTGGTTGATGAGAAGTTTAAAGAAGATTAACTTCACCGTCCCTTGGGCTCGCTGCTGTTTCATTTCAGCCCAATGCTCCAAGTGGTAGTGGAAGTCAATCATCTCAGACTCCTCCCAAGGCTCGTCATACAATACGTTACTTACCGCAGCCTTGTCTTCAGCACATGGTTGGGCTTCAAGGGAGGGCCGCTGATTTTCATCAGATCCTAACTTCCCTATTGTAGAGTTTGTTGAATCTGACTCTACGCCCGGTTCTGGTTTCCCTGCAACCTATAACAATCTTGGACCTTGTGATTTGGCTTTTGGCAATGCAGGCAAACCCCCTTCTTGAGTCTGCCCCGCCGGTCATTCTCAGTGATCCGGAGGTCAACCCATGGTTTGGTAGATGCATCCTCCGGTTTAGGCGGGATCTTAACTCCTTTGGGGAGTTGGACATAACTCTTTCCGGCACTCCGATTCGGTCCCTTAGTGTTGGCAGTCTTTTTAAAGGCAGAAAATTTTTCTTCTTCGTTATTTGCGTCGGACTCATGGGCTGAAGAACAAGCTGTATCGGAGTCCTTTTTCTTGGTCGTCACCAAGAGTGGGGTCAACCGCATCGGCTTCTCCTTCGGCCTCCAGCAGGTCATGCACAGCAAAACGGTTGCTGCCCTTGAACCGTCTGCCGCCCATGGGCTTTTTGCTGCCTGCCGTGCTAACGAGGTCCATGGCCTCCASACTGACTACATCCTTCATTAAGGCAAGCCAGTCAGTATAAGCAATGTAGTCCCTRSCCAGGCGACTAGTRAAGTTAGTGGGAACCGCGCCCTTGACCACATCTAAGCAAGATTGAGTGGACAATTCCAAACCAGGAGTGGCAAACAGCTTGCTTAGATAGGTCTGCAGGCTTTTCATGGAGCCATTCCACTTGTTGTGCTTTACTTTGTCCAGTTGAATCCTTGCTTTAGCAGCAACATGTGGATCCTGGTATTCTGAGATAAGGAGTTCTTCGAGGGAGGCAACCGGGGTGGACCTTAGCCATTTCGCTAGTGCAGACTTTTGAAACCCAGCCCGCGTTGCTTGGACTTCTAGGAAGCCCCGTACGATTGGCTCGACATTCATACCCATGATAACTGCCTGGGTCTCAGCTTGAGTCCCCAGGATCTCAAAGTAAGCTCTCATGGAGCCGATCCAGGACTCGATGTCTTCCTTGCCATCGTACTTGGACAGTATTTGAACCGCCTTCCGGTCCACATAGGGACAAGCGTGGCTGGGACCAGCAGCAGCTGGTTCCGGTCTTGGGGCTGCAACAATTGCAGAAGTTCCAGCCTCATTGCTTGTTACAGCAACAGTGGAATCTGCACCTGCTTCAGGTCCTGAGGAGGTTACCATCACACTCGAAGAAGAGGTAGAAGAAGATACAGTAAGAGGGGCAGAAGTAGTTTCGATTGCAGCTGCGGTCCCCGGGGGTAGAGGGAGAGGGTTGGCCACTTCGGCTTGTCGCAGGTCAGCCACCTCCTTGGTCAAGTCATGGTACTTGCGGGTCATCTCAGTCAGATCATCCTGAAGAGTCTGCAGCTTCGCAAAAACTTCAGCGATCTAAGTGGTATGGTCCTCAAGATTCCGGACTTGAATCAAGGCTGTGAGTATGGACTGCAACTATTCCCCACACTGCACTTCGGTCAGTGAGGGGACAGTCTCTAGGAGAGCCACTTGCCTTCTTAGCAGGGTCTCCTTCCTCTCCTTCTCTGTCTCCTGTTCCCGTTTTATAGCACCATCCAAGAGTGCTTGCAGATGTGGTTTCTCAGCATCACCGGCTGCATCTAACAAGGCCCGCCATTGTGTTGAAGTTAGGGCCATCTTTGGACCGTCAGTGTGGGCAGGTGGATCAGAGAGTCGCCAGACAGCAAAAGAATCAATCAGACTCTCAAGAGGTTCACTCCCCCTCGCGCTTAGACGAACACTCCTTTTCCCAGTCCTGGTCCACCTCAGACTATCACTTGCCCTCTCTCCATGTTCTCTCTCCCTCCTCTCTCTTTCTTCTTTCAGGTTACGAGTCTCCACGGGCATCGGAAATGAACTCAGAAAAACAGATAAAGCTCAGAGAATAGAAGGTAGAACTCCTAGTCGGAGCGGCATTTCATTTGGAAGTAGAGAACAGCAAAAGAAACAATCAAAACTCAAAGAGAGGTCTGATCCAGCGACCCAGTCTGATCAGACTGCATACGAGGTCCTCTCGAGTCCAATCTGACCAGCTCCGTGTCCGTACAGCAAATCAGACAACAAGTGACTAAATGCAACAATGGAGAATTGAGTGGTGTACAGGGTGCGAGTCAAGCCACGGACGGCGCAGTCAGAATGCATGCGAAACGTCAAAGCCAAGATCCCCTCGGCAGTGGGTGTCCTAATCCAAGAAGAATGAATCCATATCTCAGCCAAGAAGATGAGGTCAATTGCCTAACCGATTTTGGGTCCAGAGGCTCTCCTTGTTTGGGCCTGGTTCCGCTGGGTCCCCAAGGGTCCCACGTAGGTCTCAACCAGGTCCCAACCAAGAAGAGTCCCACCTGAACTTAGTTCAGTCTCAACTGCACTGAAAAACGAAATTTCAACTTCTGGCAGAACCTACAGTGATGAAAAGACAAAGCACTGTAGAAAGACTCGGCATGTATAACAAGATACTTCATTTTCCATCCATCAGGTGAGTAGGTAGATCACATGCATCCAGTCACACAATCAAGACCACAGAGGAGTAGGAAAAGAAACCCAGAGTACCCCAGCAGGTCAATCAATACCATACACATATACATGGGCATCCCGTAGGTGCACGACACTTACCTGAGTGGCCTTGAGCTTCGAGATGAAGAGAACTCACCCCCCTTCTCATATGGTCCTCCTGACCAATCTAACACTACCCCTACACTAGTGTCCTATCTCCTAGGAGGGTCTGACTCCAACACCCAAGTGCAACGCCGGATCCCCCGTCGATGCTGAAGATCAAAGTAGCAACTTGCAGTCCGTTGATGCAGAATGGCCGCTGACCCTCAAGCTCGCCTACTTGAGGGCAGCCCTTAAGTTGCCAAGTGTCTCCCTTGAATCAGATTCCAAGTGCGAGTGCCTCTCACTGTCGCCTCTCTCAAATCGCCGTATGAAGTCTCCTCGAAATGTCTCGCCACCCTAATCTCACTCTCAAGCAACCTGGTTAGGGTCTATGTTGACCTCACATGCCCTAACCAGGTGGGGGCAGCTTCACTTAGCCACGCTGCCCCACTTCCCTCAACCATCCAACCCTAACCCTAAGTGTTGCCCTCAACCACTTAGGTTAGGGTTAGGGTAGCAAAGTCAACTCTCACCAGCAAGTAGAATCCGCTCTGATACCAATGTTATGACCCTGTCCAATTTCGAGATACACATCCACTGAGAAGTACAATGCCATCCAATTGCAGAAAGAAATGAATGAACTTGAGAGGAGAGAGAGGAGTAGAAGAAGAAGAAGAAATGAGAAAGAAGAAGAAGAAGATGTACACCAGCAAAGATGATGACAGGGCTCTTCTTCTTCGCCCAACAATCTCCTCCTCCTTATCTCCCCCTTCTCATATTCAAACAAGAAATAATAATACAATGTTGAATGACTGGTCCAGAATCATGTCCGAGTCCCTTTTCTACTGCAGGTATCACTCAAGGTCCACCATAGCCATCGCCGCCTCCCCCACTCTTCACATACATAGGCCGAGGCTATGGCGGACTACTAGGCCTTGCTCCGATGTCCAAAGGACAACGCAGAGAAGCTATGGCTGCTACAGCTCAGGCCGCCATGCCCAGCCCTGCCTTGAAGCTTCTTGGTGTAGCTCCCCCGGCTGGGGACTCTTTGCAGCAGCGCCCACCAAGGTGATGAAGATGGCTGCCACCATAGCCAGGTAAGTACCCCTGGCGCTCCTCCCCCTTCCTCCTTCCTTCCTCCTTCTTCCTCCCTCTCGTCCTTCTTCYTCCTCCCCAGCAGCGCAGCTCCAACCCAGCGCTGCTCCCTCCAGCGCTCCACCAGTGTGTCGCCAAACTTGCACACCGAAAAAGAGGCCKGGTCTTCCGCCCGGCCGGAAGATATAGCGGCCTGCCTTGCCTCTTGGGCGGTGACTTCCAGGCCGCTGGCCTTCCCAAGCAACCGGTACCTCTTCCTCCTTTTGGAGGGAACATCATTGCAGACTCTGATATTGCCCCAACAGGCCCTAGACTCAGACTGGTACCCGCTAGACCTAGCCTACACTACCGGCCTCTAAAAATGTCACTTTTGTCTTCTTCTGCTCGGCCTCCGGTACCTGCATATTAACCCCCCTGCCGGGTGCGGTACCGGCCTACCCGCTACTTGAGTGCTTTTTCCCTGCTGCAACCCTTCGAAGCCACGGCCACAGGTAAGTACCAGCCCTGAGGGCCCAACGAACGAACAAGTGCCCTGGCGGGCCACACACACACACTCTCATACCAACCAGCACTCGGACAGGCATGGTCACACACGCAAGCCAACCAGCACTCAGACAGACATGCAGTCCAGCAAGCACACACACACACAGACTTAGCAGGCGGGGAACTCAGTAGGGCATTCAGTCTATGAGCAAAACTCAGAAATCAGCTGTGTGTTTCAGTCCGTGTTTGGACGGGTTATCACACCATAGTTGTAGGTCACCAAAGGACTGGCCCATGGTGGCAGGAGTCCCGCATTTATTTAATGAACCGAAAGGCACACTTTTCGCATGTCTTCCCAAGTCGAAAGGGATAACGGTACCCCAGTCCGTGTGGCTGAAAGGTACACACATGTAAAATGATGTAAGTGCTAATAAACCGGTCACAAGTTCAATTCCTGATGGAACCAAATGGATACAATTCAGGTTAGGGGCTAGATGAGGTACGCCAGCCCCCTATGTGTGCTGGGGCTCTTGGCACAGTTTAAGCTCATATAAAGGCACACTTTCCGCATGTTTTCCCAAGTCGAAAGGGATAACGGTCAGATGAGGTACCCCAGTCCAAGGTACACACATGTAAAATGATGTAAGTGCTAATAAATCGGTCAAGAGTTCAATTCCCGATGGAACCAGATGGATACAATTAAGGTTAGGGGCTAGATGAGGCAGGCCAGCCCCCTATGTGTGCTGGGGCTCTTGGCACAGTTTAAGCTCATATATTTCCATTTGGTTTCCGCCCTGCCGTGCTCCTCCATTTTTTGTTTCAGCAAGGTCAGGTGAATACTGAATTATCGTCCATGGAGTGCTTGGCACATGACCATGCATACACGTAGCAGCATCAAGCACAGATTCAGTGCTGCACAAACAATCGGGTGATTGAACTCCAAACTCAAACATGCTCAGTGAATGTTCTCAGAGCGTAACGAAGCCTCGGCTCCCACAAAGCTCGCAGTGATCCCTTATAGTTGATGCCGTAGGGCCTTTTTTGACCACTCGTCAATTCCGAAAATGGCAAATGTATGTTGCCTTGTCCTCCTGCATGATACCCTCACCACTTCCACATTAGGTGAGTAGTGGGAGTGCGTCCCATAGAGTCTTCCCCGACACCACTTGGGATCTCCATGCGGTTACACCAAGTCAAATGACCTCCTCTGTTTGTTTCTGAAGGGGGTGGCCCCTTCCGTTGTCGTATCCATCTGACTCCATTAGAATTTGAACTCGTGGACTTTTCATGAACAGTTACATGCGTGTTCAGCACCATGTGCTGGGTAGCCAAGTCCCTCCCTACAGCCAGCCAAGACGTCAACTCTTTTCAAGTGTGTGGTAAGTATGTTATCCAGGAAACACAAAGATCAAACTGTACACAGCGAAAACAGGCACCACTCGAATGGATTATTGGTCGCACATCTTGCCAATCCTCCAATTTGTGCATCTTTACCTGTCTGGCATTCTATATCCCCAGTATCCCCGTCCTTCACCAGCTCAATCACTCTTTTTCCTCTTTAAGGTCCCCCAACCATCTACTCCACGTAGACAGCTTGGGTGCCAGCTTGAATGAAACCAGTCCCAAGGGCCATACCTCATTCATCACACCAGTTGATGCAGGAAATCACACAAGACCCATTCCTCACTCCCTCCCATAACCCATCAGGTGACTCTTGGCCACGAAAGAAACCTCTCGGTAGTTTCTTCCCCATCCTTTTTTTTAACCATGGATCAGATGTTGAACTGATCACTACCAATACTACAGTTGATCTTAGCCAAAAGGGCGAGAAAGGTATACGATAAGGCATGAGGCTTCATCAAGGAGGAAGGAGTTGGACAGACTGGCAAAATAATTCTCAACAAACATCGTCCAATGGCCTCGATCCTACCTTCAGTGAACAACATAGGTTAGCAATTGACTCCCTGCATTGATTGTGCCAACATAAAAGCAGCATTCCACTACATGTATTCGCTACATGCCCCAGTCCTATAGATATCAGGATTTAGTAGTTGAAGTCTGAACGGTTTAACCGTTCACAAGGGATTTGTGGCTCAGGGTCAAGAAACTCAAAACAAAAGTTCAAAATCATGAGCATGAATTTAGGGTTTAGCGTTGAGGGTTCACGATCTAGTATTCACAGTTTAGGGTTGAGGTTTTAGGGTTCTGGTCGGGATGAGCATGATTGCTGCACCAATAAATAGCTGCAAAATAAGAGAAAACCCTTTCCAATTCTGGATGAGTAACCCTTTCAAATTCAGGATGACTGGGCAGGGGGGTCACCTGAGGATGGATGCCAAACAAGAAGGCAATGAACCGCCGTCCTTCAGAAGATTTGTGATACCATGGCGAGAAAGAACACCTCAAAAGTAGTTCCTTCACAGATGCGATACTGCTTGGAAAAACGTCAATTGAAACGATACAGAGAGACAAATGATGTCCACCAACACCAGGGCCAGACAATAGGATTCAATCAGCTTAGAATGTCAACGACCATAAACGAAACCCACGAGATGACAATGTGCACGCAATAACGGTCTCACACACTTGAGCTGCCTCTCCTGTCTCTTTGCAGCAACAGGCAGAAACATTCCCATTCACTCTCGAAAGCTCTCACACTGCCAGCTGCAGTGATTGTCGACAGAAGCAGGGATGCCAGAGTTGCACAAAGATCCCTATGTGGTCCCTCGTAAATTTCCCATATATCCCTGCCTGGTGCAATAACCCATGTGGTATGCCTCGTGGAAACTGAGGGCCTCGCCAGGCCACACCCAGATCCAGGCCAAAACGAGGGAAAAGACCCCAGTAAGAGATTCAGGGCCTGGACGAGGCACAGTTGACAAAAGTCAACTGTCGGAAATTCCAACAGTCAAAGTCAAAGTGTACCCAGCCCAGGCCGCCGGTCGGACACACACATTTGTTTGTATGCAGGTACCCAGACGGCATCAGGTCCAAGGGGGAAGTCTGCAACTGTACAATCCAGGCTTTCGGCTGTGAGGCAATCTGGACGACTGTGGGAAAGGCAACCAAGGCCAGACAGCCTCGACAAATGCTACTTGGACGCTGGCCTCGAGTTGGTCAAGCATTCAGTCTTGCTATGCTGCTTGGACGCTGGCTTGATTTCGGTCAGACGCTGGCGAGACGCTGGCTGGACGCCGGCACTGTGGGCGACGACGACAGCATGCTGGCGCTTTCTGCATTGTGCGCCCGGCATGCTGAGGTGGCGCTGTGTGGCATACTGTGCAGCCACACGGGCCTTGCAGGGCCCGTCCCGGACCTCCAGCCTGTTTCCCTACAGGGAAACTTCCAGGCTCTTGCCTGGAAGCTTCCTTCTGGCAGGGCCTACAGGCCCCAGCCTGTTTCCCTACAGGGAAACTTCCAGGCTCTTGCCTGGAAGCTTCCTTCTGACAGGGCCTACAGGCCCCAGCCTGTTTCCCTACAGGGAAACTTCCAGGCTCTTGCCTGGAAG